AACCCTGTGAGGACAAAGCAAGGTGTCACCTTTGAAGCCGAAGGCAGACTCCAAAAACTCCATCTGCCCATGCCGCTAGCTTGGACGCCCGGGCCTCCAGAGTTTATAAATGACCCAGTCTAGGGGGTTTTGTTAGAGCAGCCTCAGTAGACCAAAGGGAAGAAAAGAGGTCTCAGGATAAATTCACAAGCTAAATGACAGACTGAAGCAGAAGAAAAAGCCCCCTACTAGGTGAATCCATTACGCTGCTTTTGCTCATGTGTTCTAGGATTAAGTACCTTTTGTGACCACCCTCGTAAACTCACATGGTTCTAATCTCAGAAAGCAGCTTTCACAGATTTTATCAGTTTACACTCTCATATTTCTAGGATATCTTAACAGCATGGCAATGCACTAGGTATAACTCTTTAAAGAGACCCTTCCACATGTTTGCATGTGTGTGTGTGTGTAGGTGTGGCTGAAATGTTCAAAAAAGTTTTTTCAGTCTCAGCCCAGAGGGAGCCTAGAATGAGAGGTAGAGTAGGAACCCAGACAGCAGTAGCCTACATGTTGTACATGCATTCCCTGCCTGCTGTATTTGAGGTTCTTGAATCTGTGCGATACCAATTCAAAGCAGAGAGTGCAAGAAAGGGAGGGTCTATCTAAAGAGACTACATGTTCAGACATGAATGCAGGCAGCTGCAGGAAGAAAGGCGTGTGCCATGAGGAGATTGTGCATGACAGGGAGCACCCCAGGTCAGTCACCTTTAGTGTGTGGGGGTGACACTTTAATTGAATATGCTAATAGAGTGGAGTCTGGGAAACATTCATTGTGTGTGATGTCTTTTGGGAGTTCCATGGAATCCTACATGACGCTAGTGCATATATATGCTCATCCCTCATCATCTTCAGCGTTGTGGAGGTGGCTCAGGTGCATCATGGGAAGCAGGTGTGCTGACTGGCATGCATGGGGGCTGGAGAGAAACCGGAGATAACTTCCCAGTTTTCCTCTGACTTTTGTGGGCAACCTCTTAGCTTGTTCTCTTTCTGGTTGTCCTAGTTCACTAGGATTTCCTGTCATGATGACAGAGGAGACAGGATAGGTTCTTAACAAGCAGGTGGAGAGGGAAAAGGGGCCCCAGGAATAAGTGAGTGCCTGGAATCACTGGCTGAGGTGACACCAGCCACAGGCCCCATCCCCCATGTGTGAGTACTCATCAACTTCACAAAATGAATCCCTCCAGCTTTGACCTGAGTGGCAACATACTATGCAGTAAAAGGGTTCCTCGAGTGCTAATGGGGTTAGGCCTTATTAACATATATAGAACCAGGGAAAGCTCACTTCTTAAAGATATGTAAAAACCCCTACACACCACCTCTGGTTTGGTCATCCTTACTGGGGACCCCTCCTGGCACTGCTGAGGGCTCTTATGCTTAATAAACTTTTCCCACACTTCCTTCTCCATATGTCTAAATCCTTGCGGATGCAAGACGAAGAACCTGGCACATACAAATTTGTAGCATTTCAGAGAATTTGACAGAAAGGAAAATCTTCCATGGTTGGAGACTCAGAGCCCCACAGATAGGGCCTGATGTTGGGGCAGAAGGAATGAGGCCGAAACAACTGCAGCAAAGTGGGACTAACAATTCCCCAATCACCAGCACGTAGAAATGGCTCTGTCACAGCTGACTGTAGATTCATTTCTGGAGAAATTAAAATGCTACGCCTGTTGAAGGAGTTGAATTTATTCCAATCACATGGTGAGCAATGCTGAATGGTAGAGAAACAAATCATTTATTCTGTTCTCGCACCACAATTAATGCAGACTTCCATGACCTTGAAAGGTGTGGGGATTCCCACTGCCAGCAGCAAGCCTTGCCGCAGCCGATGCTGGTTGTGTTGTGGGCTAGGTTGGGGCTAATTTTTCCTTTTTAGGCATAGGCACAAATACAACTTACTAAGTGATCAACTTTATTAAGAAGGTGAGGAAATCATATACACCTGAGTCATGTTCAGGAACACAGTGGGCCAGGAGGGAAAGGGGTAGAGAGGGTTTTTTTTTTTTCTGCCTGCCTTGTCTAAGTCCCTGGAAAGAGGGTGCCCCTCATTAGTATGGGCTTCTGTGGTGTCCAAGGAGGAGTGGCAACAGGACTGAGCCCCCCTCACGTCCCAGTTAAAAGGATCTATCAGCTTGACAGGTGAGTGGATAGGATTCCACAGGGCAGCGCAAGTGTGACCACCAATTCTAGGTTGGCTGCCCACCTATCCCTTACCAGTCGCTCGTCCTCTACCACAGATCAGTTCTGACATTACATAAAAGAGACAGCCTTGGGCTTGCAGGTTGAGGGTTCAACCCACAAGCCAGCCCCCCTCCCTCACCTCACTTCAGAGGCAAGTTACAAGCTCCAGATCTCTGTCCCACCAGCTATACACTGGTTTCCATGACCCTCTCCCTGAATTGGATTCATTTGCTTAAGCATCAAGTTGAACTCAGAAAAATGTGTTTATTGATTTACGTCAAAGAAGGGCTACAGATGCAGGCGTGCCAAGCTTTCATGCCATTTTGCATACACAGCCCTCTGGACTTGCACCTGTTCAGCTGTCCTAGGCTACCTACATCTCTGACCCTTGCCTGTCCCTTTTGGACTTTAGAGTAACACAGGCATGACACTGGTGACCATCTTAACCTCAGCCTTTCTCCTCTCCCAGCAAGCTGCAGAGACTGAAAACTGCAGCCTTTAATTCTGCCCTCTAATCCTGCCACGGCAGCAACCAGTCATTTCCTTAGCATAGAAGATACATCCTTTAGAAAACTCAAGGATTTCAGGAGTTACATACCAGGAAATGGGGAGGAAGAGTAAGTATTTATTAGTCATAAAAACACAAACTGAGAAACTAAGATTAAAAAAAATTAAGCTCATAAAAATTACAGGGAAGGATATGGTCTGTTCTGGGGTAAAGTTAATATACACGGGGATTTTCAGCCCCAAGAATTTGAGGTTAACAGAAAAACAAACTTAAAGTATACTACACATTGCTTAAAACAGTTAAAGGTATAAAATACAATAAAAACCATAAGAAAATGACACTATGAGATAGAAAAAATATAAATACATCTTGTAGCAAGAGTAACCAGAATAGGTTTAACAGATTAAACAAATGAATAGATTTAAAATTAGACATAGCTGAAAAGACTTAAGTGAAATGGAAGGTAGCAATGAAAAAATTACCTGAAATAGGATATAGGAAAAAAGAATATTCAGTTGTTGGAGAACTAAGAATATTTGGAATGATTTAGGCATCTAAATCTACCACGCACGAGATCAAATATTTTGATGAAAATTTAAGTGACTTTCTTGAGACAGATTGCAAGTTACCTGCCAGATTTCAAAGATTTAGAATGAAAACATAAAATATTAAATTTTAAGGTAACTGAATGCACAGTGAAATAAATTCTGGATATCATAGTCAATAAAAATACATTATTAAAACAAATCCCCTTTTTGTGTTTAGTGTTTGCAATTTAAAATAACATAAATGACACATATTGGATAGCAATGTCTTAGAACATAGATGTCAGAGATCTAGGCTTGCTAGAAGCTGGAGAATAGGGAGCTAAAACATGCATCTGAAGACAGCTCTTGCAGCTACAGGAGACTGTAAAACCAAAGCTGGTGTCTCTTCCACTTACTGTCACTCCAAAGGAAGCCACTCTAAGGGTCTTCGCTGCATGTCTTGCTGCTTCATTATTAAATTGTAAGTAAAATTGCCATGTTTAGGTTTGAAAAATTTTCTAAAGCTATTAAAGTAACTATGAATATGGAATCCACAACATAGGTTAACAAGCATGCACACACATATGTACTTCTCAGTAGCTAAATTTTTCTGACCCTACGTGCTTCCAAGTCTAGAGCATTGCCAAATGCCCACACTAACTCTGGGAGCCTACCTCACTTGTTCTCATCCTAATGCAACTTTGCTGAAAGTGATGACGGCGATTTGGGAGGTCTGAGTTGGGATCAAGACTTCAGCATCTTTAAAACTTCTGTGATTTGTTGCACTGAGTTTATTCAGTTTATTTACTCACTTGCCAAATAAGTGTCTTCATAACATGACTTCTCAGGTAGCTGCTACGATAGATTTCTCCTGCTGGTTCTTCTTTCTCATTGTCTATAATGCAGTTCATCAATTACTTTATGCCCCACCAAGAATGAATGAATGCTTCTCATTAAACTGTGAGACAGATTTTATCCACTGCTCTACTGAGAAGCATCATGAAAAATACGCATCTTTGATAAAATGCGGAGTCAATATTCTCAGGTCTCACGCTGAGATCCACATTTAATACTGCTGATGGTTATTGTGACCTGCATGCCACTTCACACTGCCCTCCTCAACTAACCACCACCTTCTCCTAGTTCTGCCTCTTAGGGTGACAGGTGGATGACTGTCAGGCTATTTTACTGTCAGGGTTTCCTTCCGGGTTATCTGTAAACATGGTAAGGGTACCAGCCTGCACCACTAAGGATCTTCAAGAATGACTCAATTATGTTTTTAATTTAGAAATGTCATTCCTGCTTTTTTCAATTTAAAAATTGGCTCCTCATTCAGAGTGAAATATTCACTTGATTCAATCTTTCACCAAAACACTATCTTTATTCTAACTCTTGGAAGCAAGTCTGTCCTGGGTGTGGTAAATGGGAAAGTGAGGACAATGAGCCAGACGCAAGTCCAGAAATAATATCCTCCACAAATGTATTCTTTCTAGAAAAATACTCCCTTTGTTTAATTACTGTAAAGTGGGGCAGAATCATGAGTAAATATGAAAAAGATGAAATTTAATTTGCATGCTCTGAGGACACTGGTCTGTAATATTTAATTGTAAGAAACCCAACAGTATGCAACAGTACGCTATACACACTGCTAGACATCATTTATCTTCATGATTCATTTAAATCTGCAAATGGTAGAGAGTATTGCAACAGACCCAAGACTAAAAAGAGACTGCAAGGTGAACATCTGGAAAAACTTTCTACAAAATGGCTTTATTTTAAAAAATATGATCTTTTCAAAAAAAAACCAGGCTTTTATATTTACATACAGTTACTTAGTTTAGAAACAGTCAAAAATACAATAACTTCAGATTAAGAAATTAAGGTTTGTAACATACAATACTGATGGCAAACAAGACAGTTTAAATAATTTTTTTCTGTCCCATCGTGTTTCAATAATTCACATTTATTAGACCCAGTGCTTGTGGGACTAAAGGAAAAGTCTTGTCTGGTTCCTTCCCACCCGAGAACCTTGTCACTTTCCTAGTGCTGTGTGGGTAATGCGTTTGTGATTCTTTGAGTGTCTCTGTGTCAAAAAACGCACTCCTCCATGTTTATTTCTTCTTTTTCCTCTCTTGTAGCTCATTGATATGTAATTGCAGGTACTGTTCATATACACCAGGCCTTTTGAAACTTTGATTTTTAAAATTGGAAGCATTCTTAAGGCAAGGAACATGCATGGTAGGATAGCACAGAAATATGCATGCTAGGACAGACCTTATTCCTCTGTTTAACAACACTCAACATGATTTTGATGACCTAGCCAGCAGTCTGAGCAGCTTCCAAGAAATCTTACCATGGTAACATGGTACGGAAATATTTCAAAACACATTCAAACACCGAATGTAAACTTGCAATGAAATAGGAGAAAGGGTTTGTCCAAACTGAAGTGCTATTAGCTAATTCTATTCATGAAGCTATTTTGATTTTTCATAATCTCAAATTCTGAAACTTTTTTGCCATGGTCACTTGCTTTTCAAATGGGACCCTTAGCATCTTCCTAGAGTTCTAACTCTGCCATATGTACTTAACAAGTAAAATCAGAATAGTTTAAAGATAAAATATGACTTCAAAGAAATCACAAGCTGATGTTTTGGACTTTGCCCATAGAATCTATTCTTTCATGGAGATTTCAACAGTAATGTCGGTAAAGCAATGATACGGGATCCAATTCTGCAAGCTCCTACTGCTAGTGAATATAAATAAAATTCAAAGTCTTGGCTCCTTTGCTCCAGTTCCATCTTCTGAAACAATATAAGTGTCTGTTTATATATTTATAGAACTATATCTACACTGATCAGGAAGGAACTCAAGAAAAACTTTGTACTTTTAAATTTTACAGTTTAATAACTGGAAGAATGCTGCAGAAAATATTAGTGATTTATAATTTAAAACATATGACATATGTCATCAAAAATAGCTGAACTCAAGCCAAATGACTTGACCCACTGAAAATAACAGCAAGAGCAATGGCAGGTGGTTCAACTCTTGTGTCTCATTTCTATTAAATTCCATCATCCCTGTTTGTTACTGCCCTTTTAGTATACAGTACCTTTTTGAGTCATTAACTATACTGTCTCCCCTATACTACCAAATCCACTAGGAGTTCTTTCTTGAGCCCACAGGGATCCCTTTAGTATATCATGAGAATAATCTTTAAACTGACCGCTAACAACAACTATCCGTCAAATACAAATGGTCATTTTCTGTATAAAAAAACTGCAAAACAAAACAAAGCCGTTAATGAATTTTAAGAGGCAAATTTACAGTTTCTTTTTTTGTTTTTGCAAGTAATGGTTCAATTCCATAAGGCATGTAAGAAAGATATCATTTGCAAATCAGGTTGTCATCCAACATATATAATAATATGAACGGATTTAAATATAACATTGGATCAAAAATGATCCTAGACAATTGAAGGGCTGATTTTCTTAATCCCACAATTTTATTAAACCATCCCACCCGCAGGTTATGACCTTAGATGTTTCATGAGGATGCCACACCGCACCTATACACACTTTATCATGAGCTTTAAACCGACTATAGAGCTTTGTGGTCTTCCAATCCCAAATGTTTAATTTTCCATTTCCATCTCCTGAAATCACATAGCTGCAATTGAAAGAAAAACACATTTCAAATCATTCACATACCAACTGGGTGAAGAACAAAAGTATTTTATCTTTTTACCTTAACATAAAATATTACCAATATGAATGTATAATACTCTGAGGATCACAAGGAGCCTGACACTTGAACTCCCATCACAACAAATTTCACCAATGAACTTCGGACCTAACTACAGAAAACTTTTTAACTAGGAAGACTGCAAGTCTCAGGGTCCACAAGGAATGGGTTATCACATTTACTTTCCAGTCAGAAACAGAATAGAGGAATCAATTTCATATATCTGGTGAATATGTTAGACCCACTCTACCCTTGCAGAATCTACTACATTCATAAATGTTCTGGTTTCCTGATCTTCTGAATACATCTAGAACTGAATCAGAGGTAGGAAATTAAGGGCCAATTACTGGCCTATACAGACAAAATTACACGGATATTGACACCACTTTAGCTTACAACTTAACTAAGCCTGGGAGAGTAAAAGTAGCATTTTACTCTTGGCAAGATTGTAGCTAAACAGGTCCTGGCCTAGTAGTCTAGTGACTAATGTCCTCGCCTGGCATGTGCCAGGATCTCATATGGGCATCAGTTGCTGTCCTGGCAGCCCCACTTCCCATCCAGCTCCCTGCTTGTGGCCTGGGAAAGCTGTCGAGGACGGCCCAAAAGCTTTGGGACCCTGCTCCCACGTGGGAGACCTGGAAGAGGCTCCTGGCTTCAGATCACTCAGTTCTGGTCGTTGCAGCCACTTGGGAGTTAATCAACGGAAGGGAAATCTTCCTCTCTGTATATATGACTTTCCAAAAAAAAAAGACTGCAGCTATACAAGCCCAATGTGACAGAGAACTAACTATTCACAAGCTGGTTTTAAGGTCTCAGCACTGACAGGCTGCAGTCAAGTTTACTTTCACATTGTAGAGCTGATGCTTGTGGCATTTAACCACACCAACACAGTGATTACAGTACAGCTAAACTTGTTTAGAAAAGCAGAGAAGAAAATAAGGCACTGGGGACAGGGACAAGGATTTATTAAGTGGTTAAAGGGCACAAACCTACAGATATACTGAAGTAAGAACTTGAAATCAAAATGTAATTTTATAAATTGTTCTTACCTTTACACCTGACATTTTGACAAATTATATAGATCTCATATGTGGAAGTGATTTGTGAAGTACTACTTTTACAACAATTGTTTACAATCTGACTTACCTCATATCTGGAGAAAAGTCCACCTGACAAGCATAGCCTGCTACCATGTGGCCCTTAAAAATTTTTTTCTTATTTAATCTAAATCTGTTCTGTGCTCCAAAAATTAAGATTTGGTTGTCCATTGATTGGCACGCTAGCCACTTCCCTGTAATTCAGTAAAAGAGAGATTTTAGAGAAAACATTGAAAAACTTAAAAACAATTTTTTATTGGAAACAAATTCATTGTTTGCTTGGAACTACTCTATAAAACTAAAAAGTACACTTACCACACTGCCTGTAAAATGCTAAGAAATACCGTCCCGTTAAAGAGGCATTCGACCTCTGAAGTATCAGATTGACTCATATGACCCTATATCAGCAAACACGTTCCACACAAAAGCTTTTTAATGAAATAAGAAAATACAGCAATTCCAAGCTTGGTGTTCATAAAAATGAAACAGAAATTTATGAAATGAAACCAACTTCTAATATGTGTAAACAACAGGACTATCATGGGAACGAGACCTCTTTGTGGCAATTATGAAATAAGGGAAGGTTAATACAGACGAGAGAAACTAGGATTATTAAATTATTAAAACTATAAAAAAAAGAGATGAGATTAAAAAGGTTACAGTAGCTGTGTTTTCAAGGTCACCCTACTTTTTCTCTCCCCAGGACTCATGGAAGCCCCAGAGCCTAATGCACTTTCTACTTGCATCCTACAGCCTGGCACACATCCCTAAGGACACGACCCTCCAAAGCCTCAGAGGGCCACCAGTGGCCTTGCTGAACAGGGACACAGTATTTGTAACAGATAGACACACAGTTATAAAGGCTATAATACAAAGTGATCCTTAAATAGGATACAGTTAGGTTACTATTCTCATACAAATCATAGAGCAGTTGACACCTGTCACCAATCTGCCTGCAGAAAAAGGCCCAGAAGGACCAGCTAATTCCTGTATACTTTTCCTTACTCCACACTGGTGTGCAGAGTGAACTATGGCTTCAGTGATGCTTCCTAAATATCAGATCCTCTGCTTTAACACTCCCATGAGCACCTATGATTTCTTGTCAGTACAATGTCAGTTTCTCTGTAGCACAAATCGTCTCATACTTAAAAGGCAATGATTACTGTGCAGGAGACGGTATTAAAGAGATCGATCTTGCTCATTTTATTTCTTCATAGCAAAATCTTTTTTATGGTAAATTGCTAAGGTATTCTCATTATGGAGAATCAGATGAAAATTTCCTACCCTTTGAAAGAGAAGAGCTCATAATAAATAATGATATATTGAACCTAATTGTGTTGGAAGGGGAATCATAAAAAGAAAAATGACTTTCAGAGAGAAATCTTTAGATGCTTATTCATTGTTGGCTATAAATCATTCTTTTATTTTTATTTCAAACAAATAAACAGAGTAGATAAGGTGACTCACAGATGAAAGCCACAAGTATTTCTAACATATAAAAGGTTTCCTTGTTACAAGCGTGGTACTGTGAAAATCTTGCTCTACAAGGGAATGGCCAAATTTCTCATGAATAAAGAAAAGCATCGTGTTTCAGAGGCTCAGTTAAGAACATTTTGTATTACTAACTCACCGTTTGGAGACAAAGTCACTGCAGGCATTGAATGCATACTGGGTTCTGCTATATACTTGAAATCCACAGGAATGTCCCTAAAAATTAAAATAGCCCTATCAGAACAAGTCATTTAAAACAGCAACATTAGAAGAACAATCTCTGAAATAGAGATAATATTCAAATGAGAGCAAATGACTAAAATTACATATTTCATAAACCTTTCAAGAAAATTCCTGGGGGAGGGTAAAAAAAAATCACAAAATCACTGCATATTGCTTATTATAAACCGATTCCACAAATGAATTCCTGTCATACTTTTAGTAGTGTCAGTGAGTTTTGTTCTCTATAGATTCAAACTTTGGTCTTTATGGTAAAATATATACATATACATCTATATGTGATACTAAAAGTTCTTTCATAATGAACTCATCTAATAATGTACCACGGTAGGCAGACACAAGGTGTCTGAGGCAAGCCCATAGGGAAGTGTCATTTGCCTGTCAGTCACTTGAGTCACTTCTCACTACTCTGCAGTCAGGTTACAGAGCTAACAAGCCTTCGGCAATGCGTGTGGATGGCAGGCCTGGCTGGAGGGACCTAGGAACTGTTCTAGCTCACCCAGAAATAATGACTCAGGCCAGGGAGACCAAGCGCTTGGGACCTGGACTATTTTGTGGTTGACACGTGTAAAGCATTTCAAGTATGCTCAGTTACAGCAGACAGTACTCAAAACACCCAACCCAAAAAACAAAACACAGAAATGTAAAATCAGTCACCTAAATAGAGAATGACTAACACTTCCAAGTACTTTTTCATTTTCAATATTCTCTGCGGCAAAAATTCTTTAGTCATTACGAAAGGATTTTTAGTCTTCATACTTCTCAGGAGACCAGGAAGGTTTTTACAGAGTAATGTGTGGGAAATGCAATTTGATGGGTAAATCAGAATATGAAGCAGCAATTCCAGTTTCAAACTCTGGTTCCAGATCCAGGATTCTGGCTAACTGGACAAGAATAATACCTTTCCAGGATGGCTCAATGGCTAAACCCTCACCTTGTAAGCACTGGGATCCTGTACGGGTGCTGGTTCATTTCCCAGCTGCTCTGCTTCTCACCTAGCTCCTTGCTTATGAGCTGGAAAAGCAATGGAGGCTGGCCCAAGCCTGTGGGTCCCAGCACCCACATGGGAGACCCAGAAGAAGCTCCTGGCTCCTGGCTCCTGGCTTTGGATCAGCTCAGTTCCGACCATTGCAGCTACTTGGGGAGTGAACCAGCAGATGGAAGATCTTTCTCTGTCTCTCCTCTCTGTAAATCTTATCTGTCTTTATTAAAAAAGCAAACAACAACAATAAAAAACCTAACTAAACTAAAATTTTTCCTTCATGTGAAGATTTTCTCTATCCACTTCTCTGTCCAATCAGAAGAATCAAATGATTGGAAAGCACTTTTCTCAGACTCTTGTGTAGGAGGAATTTTCAGGTGTAAGTTGGAGCAACACTACCGTTTGTCAGATGTCTGCTTAAATAAATAAGTCACAAAGAATTGACATTCAGAAATATCCTAATCTATTGAAAAAGTATCCCATTCTAAAAGAGATTAATGTCTCCTCCCTTCTCCTATTTACTCTTAGTGGCTAATAATCTCACATTTTAAAACAGAATTTTCTAAATCAAATTGACCATAGTCAAAATTCATGTTAATCAAGGCTTTCCTAAAATAAAAGAAAAAAATACAAATGGTCCCCTTATTTCAAGGAATCCTGGAGCTGTACAAAAAATGAATCTGAATTACCTGCTGACTTCATTATTTCTAGTAAAAAACTCTGCCTTAGCTTAGTAACAGTTAATGAACTGAACACTGTATTTGAATTAGATACTACAGTTCAGTGTAAGCAGCTCATATCTGGCAAGCAAGTTTCAATTTGCAAATAATTTCATCAAAAATCCTGAATAACTAAAGTCTAAAACTTTAACTAATTAATTTTACATGAAAGGAAAAAAGAGAAAGACAGAGACAGATATTCATTTTGCATTCGCTGCTTCAGCCCCAACAGGCAGGCTAGGCCAAGCCAAGGCCAGGGGTCCAAAACTTAATCTGTGTCTTTCTTGTGGGCAGTAAGGAGCCAAGTGCTTGAACCATCACCTACAAGGTGTACTGAAATCAAAGTATAGGTGGGATTCAAACACAGGCATTCTGTTGTAGAATACAGGTGTCCCAAGTAGCACTTTGACTTGTGTTAGTGACCCCAAATAAGAAATTCTAAACAGTAGTATTAACCTCTGTAAAAGCCTCTTAAAAATATTTCACCAAAATAAACACCTTGAGGAAAAAAATGTTTGTAAATGTCTTATGCATTGAAACAATGAAAATGCCCAGAGGCTGATTTGCTTTCTTTGATTTTCCATTAGAAAGCCACAGTAGTCTTTGTATAGTATTGTTCAACAAAGCCAGGTTTCCTATGGGGTGTTGTTTTCCATCATGTAGGGTGACTATGCTATGCCTACGAGCACCCAGGCTGTCTCTTCCACCGGCTGGGGTCAGCCCTCGGGGAGGAGGTAGAGTTCTGCCGTCCTCGCCCCATCAGCTCCCGCACCACTAGTGCTTGCCTGCAGGGATGGCTGTATGCAGTGAAGCACATTTCTATGGCTCTTAACTTGTCTTGGTAGCAGCAGTCATTCACGTTTTTATTGCTTTCTCACTAATCAAGCCAAAAGAAGTCATCTCCTTTCCCTACGAGTCCCTTCATTCTCTAACTACCCATCCATTTGACTCAAAAATTGAAGCCTTGTAATAAAGCCTTGATTCCTCATTTGGTTTTTAAATTTAGGTATTTTTTTAACGTTAGGTGAACTACTTAACCTTAGCTTCCCTACATTAAAAAATGAAAATAGGGCCCGGTGCAGTGGCTTAGCCTAGCAGCTAAAGTCCTGCCCTTGAATGCACCAGGATCCCATATGGGCGCCAGTTCTAATCTTAGCAGCCCCGCTTCCCATCCAGCTCTCTGCTTCTGGTCTGCGAAAGTAGTTGAGGATGGCCCAAAGCCTTGGGATCCTGAGCCTGCATGGGAGATCCAGCAGAGCTCCTGATTCCTGGCTTTGGATTGGCACAGCATCGGCCATTGTGGTCATTTTGGGAGTGAATCATTGGACGGAAGATATTTCTCTCTGTCTCCTCCTCTCCATATATATATCTGACTTTTCAATAAAAATAAACAAATCTTTAAAAAAAATGAATGCAGATATCTCTTAATATTGCTTGGTACAGTGAATCAAAGAGTTGATATGGAATGCTTGCTGCAGAGATTGGCATATTGAAATTATTCCATAAATGTGACATTACTGATCACTGCAACAACAATGACTTCTTTAGATACTCAATGCATGTGCCACGTTCACAAACTGTGGTGTTGACTGACAGTGTTCTTCTGGACCAAGAACTTCTTAAAGAAAGGAATAAGCAAGCACTCCAAATTTGGAACAAGTTGTGTGAAAACAGGGGACAGTGATACGTGACAGACAAGAAGCCCCAATCTCATGTGAGGATTGTTCAAAAAGGCTCTGATGGTGCATGCTAAAATGAAACTTAAAAGTTATTAGCATTTGTAACAAAACAGTATTGTGATTTTCCGAAAGTATTTAAGGTCTGAACGGGGCAAAACAGCAGCAAAATTTTTAAAAATACCTTGGACTAAATTTAACCAAGAATGTGGGGGATCTCTGATGAAAATCACAAAACATTAAAGAAATAGAAGATACCAAAAACTGGAAAAACTTTCCATACTTGTGGAATGGTAGAATTAATGTTATCAAAAAGTCCACACTACTGAAAAGTAGTTTACAAATTCAACGTGAGTCTCTTCAGAAACAGAAAAAAATTAAGCTAAAACTTCATATGGGAACACAAGAGACCCCTAAATAGTTAAAGCAATCTTACACAACAAAAGAAAGCTGGAGGCATCAAATACCAGATTTCAAGATGTGCTACAGGTAAGTTGTAACCAAAACAGCCTGGTAATGGCTCAAAAAATAGAAATGAAGATCAAATGAATAGAATAGAAACCCCAGAAATGAAGCCATACATACACAGCCAACTAATTTCTATCAAGCAAACCAAAGACAATCCCAGGAGAATGATCTCTTCAAGAAATGCTGCTGGTAAAGTTACATCTATGTGTGCGGCACGGTGGGAAGCAAGGACGTGAGGGAAGTGTGGCTGTCTTCTTGGAGCTGTACCTATGGAATGCATGGAATCTGTTCTCCTTATATTAACAAAAAATATAAGCATTGTGAGAGAGCGATTATGGCTCAAGTCCAGAATTATCTAGACACCCTTGTGTGAGACCTCAGAACACCTATGCGTATTCCCAGCTCCTGGTTTTGGTGTAGCCTAGTCTGGGCCTGTGTAAGCATTTAGAGTGAATCAGAAATGGGTGCTCTCTTCATGTCTCTTTAAATTTAAAAAAAAAAAATTAAATGAGAATTTAAGCTTAAAAAGTATCATTTTGTTAAGATAAGCAAAGCATGTCTATGTATATTTATTTTCAGAATATTATGTAAATGGTCTAATTTGGCAAATATACACCTTGGTTCACTATTAGATTCTCTTCAAGAAACATCATTTCCAAAGTACGAGAGATCATTGTTATAATGCAAAATCAAGCCTTGGACCTTCAAGTTGATAATCTATTAAGACAATATTTAAGGTATAGTTAACTTTCCATTAACTGAGGTTATCTGACAGTGATGGTGAGTGGGGAAGAAACTACATCTAAATTATATTAAATGTTTAATTACCTAAATTGTCCTAGGGAATCAGTTTAGAGGAAACCACTGGTCCTGGTTCAAGGTTTCACATTTCTTCCTTTTTTTTTTCTTTTCTTTTCAAATTATTTACTTAGCTTTCTGAAAGTCAGAGTTATATAGAAGGAAGGAAGGAGAGGGACACAGAGACAGATCTTTAGTTTGCTAGTTCACTCTCCAACAGACTGCAAAAACTAGGCTGAAGTTTCAGGAGCCTGGAACTCTATCCGGGTCTCCCACAAGGACAGCAGGGACCCAAAGCGCTTTGGCCATCCTCTGTTCTTTCCCAGGCACATCAGCAAGGAGCTGGATTAGAACCGGAGCAGCCAGGCTCAAACCTGTGTCCACATGGGAAGCCAGTGCTGAAGGCAGTCACTTAAAGCCCCTTCCCTTTTCTTGTTAAAACAGAACATCTTCTGGTAGTGGGAAGATGAACACTCCAGCCTTTGAATGGCTGTAACTGTGCTTGAGCTGTTTCACAACTGATTATAAAAACAAACAGAGTTTCCCCCAAACATTGTTTAACAAACATTCCTATGCATTTCATTGTAACTAAGTTGTACATGATTTATGATATTTAATAAAACTAGCTCTAATACTTCCTATTGAAAAAGGTTTTCTGTTTCCCTCTACAAAAGCAAAATTAACCAATTTATTCTGATTCTATTTTACAAGGAAACCATTTGTGTAAGGATGATAATATTGAACAAATTTTAGTACTGAATAATCACAAAGCAGACATTTTAAGAGATATCTCAGTAGTTTCTTTGTATTAGTTCTGAGGCAAAATATTAGGCCTTATCCCTAGCATAACCAACAACATCTATACATCATGGTTTGTAACTTCGCTTTGCAAAGATGGGTAAAACAATGAATGGAACAAAGCATAAGGCAAGTCAAAGGACATATCCTTTGGAAAGATTATTTAGACTATGAAGATTATCGAAATACTAAGAGTTTATTTCTGTATGTAGTTAAACTGCTTTTTAAAAAAGATTCATTATTTAAGAGTCCAAGTTAGAGAGAGAGAGAGAAAGAGAAGCCAGGAAACAAACTGACTTCCTTGTGGGATGCCTATGTTGCAAGCTTAGGTTTTTATAGTCTACGTCACAATGCTTGTCCCTGCTTAAATTGTTAAAACTGATCGAGTGGACCACAGTTGCAAAAATATTCGAGATTTGATTTGAACACTGATGACCAGTTTTGCCTTAGCTACAAACTTTTAAACCACTTGTTTTATAAAAAGTCAGTTTTTCTCCTGATGGAAACTCACCATTCCCAAACTCGGAGGCTCTTATCATCAGAGGTACTAACAAATCTCCTATTTTCATCAACGAAAACAATGGTGTTGACAGCCCCCAAATGCCGATCATACTCCTGCACAATTTCTCCACTTCGGATGTCCCACTGTAAATCAGACAAGCACAAAGGTAAAGGCAGCTATCGAGCAGATCCACACATTCTGGGATGAGGACAGGGAGAAGGTCCCATCATGCTTTTATGGATGCCAATGCTTTTCACCAAGCACACAGCACCAGCAGTCCCTCAGTGTTCCTTATTGCATCCCCCGACACAGTGAAGTCCTGAAATTTTAGTAAAATACAGTAAAGATACTTACTTGCACAATCTTTTTATCAGACATCCCAGCCACAAAGAGATTTTGCTTATCCTCATCAGGATTGAATTTGACACAATAGGGTACTTTTCGGTTTGTAAATCTTGATATACACTGTCCTAAAACCAAAGATTCAAATTAAATAGATAAAAATAAACTTGACCATTTAACAAAGACTGTGGGATTAAGACCTAGAGGTCATTTGCTTAACTGATTTGGAGGAAAGTCAGTTTGCTCCAATTATGATTGCCTTCTCATTATTATAAACTACACTGTTTTTTTTCTCCAAATTTTTAATAATTAAAAATAATTATTCTAACTGTAGAAGAGATCAGTCACATTTCCACTTACACAATGAAATCCTGCAAGCAATAAAACACAAACTACTGATCTAAGCCACAGGAGAGATTATAAGGGTGATTGCATTCACAGGAAGTTTAGGAACAGGCAAAATGAATTCATGATGACTTCATGATGACAGACGTGGTTCTGGTTACCAGGAGTGGGTACAGACAGGAAAAGCATCTAAGAAACTCATATGAAGTACTGGAAATATTCTGTATGTTGACCTTTGTGGGAAACAGCTGCATACAAATGATTACTATATATAACTTTTACTGAATATTTATGAACTTTATATATTTTATACTTGCTACAAGATAAGCAAAATGAACCAAAGTATTTAATCATGCTATCAGGGAAACATCTGTGCAAGGGTGAAGATACAGGGCAACTTTCAGTATTAGATAAACATAAAGCAGAATTTTAAGTTATATCAACAATTCTAAGACTAGGTCTTAGGTTCAGTTCCTAGCATCAACAATGTAGTGAATAGTGAATGCAAGCATATAATATATATATATATATGCCTATATATATAAACTATATATATATATAGTTTGAAAACTTGGTTTGATACCAACACTGTCACTTACTATGTGACTCTAGAAAAGTTACTTATTTAAGACTCAGTTTCTTCATCTGTACCGTACTCATAGTGCTTTCATTGAAGTATATTAGAATTGAAGGGCAGGTGCCTGGCCTGTGGCTTACACTCTCACATTGCATTGTTGGAAGATCTGGATTTGATATCCAGCTCCTTCTCCTAACTCCAGCTTCCTACTGATGCGGTTTGGGTAGCCTAAGTGACTGAGTTCTAGGCAATTGCCTTTGTGCCCAGCTAGGGGCTGTTGCGGACATTTGGGAAGGAAACAAGTAATACAGGTGAATCTTCTCTCTGAACAAACAAACAACTGAATGAAACATTACATATTAACACTTAGCATCATGTAACATAAGCACTAAGTATTAATAAATGCTAGCTATTATTACTACACTTAAAAGACAGCTTTATAATTACATAGAATTTAAAAAGCCACAACATATGGTTGCAATTATTATGGATGCAAATACATAAACCAATGGGCCCACAGGAATTTACATTGACATTTTAATCTATTTGACCAATTAAATTTAATTTTGTTCTTGTGACATTCATTGTGTTTCTATAAATGTAACACACTGTGCCAGGTAATATAGGGGAACAAAAAGATAAATTAGATGACTAGAGAAGATTAAAAAAAAATTTGCATTATGAATGGTATGTGGCCAAAACAAAGCATAACTGAGTTTCTTAATATACCACTACATTTTGTGATAGGAACTGACAGCCAACAGTGGGAGCATCTGCAACTGTAGGAGGCCTCACCTTGCAGCCCACCCCATGACTGTAGGTGTGGATGCCACGTTAAGATAAGCAGGCATTAGTGCTGTGTAAAGGGAGCTCTTACCCGTCTCCGTGTCCCAGAGCTTCAGATACCTGTCATAGGCTGCGCTGAGGAACTGTGTCCCTGCAGTATTGAAGCAGATGTCCCTCACAGCCTTACTGTGCCCTGCGGGGAGAGCCAACAGGAAGGGCGGTGAGTGAAGGCTTTCACCTGTTCTTAGAACACAAATACCACACAGAGCAACAGCGTTCAAGAGTGGTTGCTAAATCAGCTGTGAGTCACGAGCAGTGGAGGCCCAGAGCCTGTACTACTGACTTCAAACCCACTATGTGTGGGCCTTGGAACGTGGGTGTTTTTTTCCTTTCAAGAAGCTCCTCTGGTGATTCGGATGCATAATGCTTTGGTAAGAACCAAGACAAAAGGTCTAATTATTATTATTATTATTTTTAGTTTGCCATGGCAAACTCTTAAAATGTAGCACATAACTGATGACTAACCAATTACTGCCAATGAAAGAAATGACTACTAGAATTCTGGAGGTTCATTCTGAGACCACTCACCAGGATGGAAGTGAAAAACAAAGTGACTTAACCTCAAGCTTTGGAAATTGTAGCCCATGTACAATAATTATATACTTCTGTGGCCACAAACCACATTCCCTAGAAACTGATTCAGAATCTTGGAGACAGTGTTTCTGGAAAGTGTCTCAGCATCTATTTTGTTTGATAATAAACTAATTCAAAGGAAGTGATTATATTTTACTTGAAAGTCTGTCATGTAGATTTATACAAATAAAACATGGCTAAACAACAGAGGAAATTTTCCCATTTTAAAAAATCATTCCCATCATATTCGAGATACATACAGTTCTGTGAAATGTGTACTGCATAACTTCTAAACCCCGCACACCAGCCTGGAGCGACCATCACCGCCGCCATGACCACCATCACAGATGAACTCAAGTCAGGGGATATATGCTGTGGCAATCAGGCATTCTTTTCTACTGCAGGAGTCCTAATTAGCGCTTCTCTTATTTTCCTGCTCTACTGAGAAATTTCTATTACATGGCAACAGAAGAGCACCAAATCCACTGCAGCTGCTAGAAGCTTCTGCCAATCTTCCCTAGGCTGCTGTGGCACCTTGGGCAGGTTTTATTTTATGCACTGCAGCCCCATAATCATAACACAGCACTCAGAAAAGACTCCTACACTAATCTAAAAACACTGAAACCCACGCAGAATCTGAATGTGGTACAGCTCACGTTTGCAGTGTGTAAGGAGCCTTCACATGGAATTGGACAGATGGCACACCTCTCACAAAGGCTACATGTGGCAAAGCAGCCCTCCTTTGGCCACTGTCTCTTCTTCCAGGTGTTCTCTTAGGCTTACGCTTCTTGACTTCCACTACCAGTAATCAGCACCAACATCTGCCTATCTAACTGCTTACTGGACATTCTCACCTGCATATTCCAAAGGCAATTCCAATTCCTGTAACGAAAGAGCAGGTTCCCTTTCGGTGGATTGTGTCATTCTACAGCTAGCCACCTGGGTGTCACCCTAGATTTCTGCCACATTCCTCTCACTCACAGTCCATATTCATCACATTGACTTTAACACTTAGTAGTTGCTTTCTTCTCTATCTCTGCTGTCTTGGCCACTGGAATATTGGGGCTGTTTAATGATTTCATTTTCCTTCCTACAGGCTTGCCCTACCAGAGAGCTTCCCTACTACCAGGTGATCTTTGCAAACACCAAGTCAAGTTGCTTTCCGGTAGGGGGCTGTTGAATGGCTTGTCAGTGCTTCTAGGATGGAGCCTCAACTCCTGATTACTGTTACACAAGCAAGGCCCTTCATACTCTGGTTTCCTACAACGGCTTTTTCCATTTTTGCCTCTGCCCATCCTAAAGCCATCCGACAGGCTTCTGCTTTTTACTTCCCACTTATTTGTCTATGTGGGGAAGCTTAGTTCTCCTTTCAGACTCAACTACAATCCGTGAGGACTTTCCTTTACATGAGTGTAGCCAATTACTGCCAATGGTGTTACTGTACTTCTAACAAGCCTTCCCCAAAAGATTTATACATGGAGAGAGAAAAATATTACCAATAAATGTTCGCAGACAGCGGCGGTCTCCATAAACCTCCCACAGCTGAGGAAGAAAAGAAACAACACACACACAAGGAAATGTTAAATTTAGTAAAGGTTTTTCAGTTAGTAGCAACAGTTAAATGCTGCCTATGTGTGTGCAACAGTCTGTGTGAGCACAAGGGATTTAATCATTAAATACTGTATGGCACTATCAGTTTGTACCGTACTGTTTGGAACACACATACAGGCACACAGCTCGCTTTAAACTGAAAGAATTTTAAAGAGCTTCATATCCAAATGATGCAAAGATATTCATATCCATGTATCAAAAGGACTTAACCATGAATGGAGCAAATTCAGGTGCTTTTCATACTCTTATGATTTTCTATGTATGTTTCCATGATGTAAAGTTACTGCAACACATTACATTTTGATACTGAAAGTCTGACTTTTTCTGAGGGAACACATAAAAGTTACATTAAAATAATGATCTAGATGGAAATAAGTGGCTTGTGATTCTCATTGTACCTAAGTGAATGAACACAACAGCTTCAAAACTAGTACAATATTTTTTTTTTTTTGGTAAATTATCCGGGAGTTGGATACTAGCACAATTCTTGCCAGCCTCCAATCCAGTCCTTAATAGCAATGAAAATTTTGTTCTCTAAAAATAGAAAGCATTTCCTGGGCACTCAGCATCAACAAGATCATCTCCATTCCAGTAACAAGCTGGGCAAGGACCTCTGAGATCCGCTCCCCTGTCTGGGGACTGTAGTAATCATTTTCTGCCTGATTTTACACTCCAACAACCACATAAGTATTAGTTTCCAGCATACGTCGTGCTGATTCATTCCATTCCCTCACCTCAAAAGCACTTCATTTATGTCCCTTTTACTTTATTAAGGCTCCCACTGAGGTATACTCCTTCTTTGAAATCAGAAGAGCATCTACATGCCCTTATAATGACCATAAACATCATAATGAACCCTAAGAGGAGGGACAGTGCCTTAATAATATTTTTATTCTCAGCTCATATATAATGTGTATTTAATACATCTTTACAGAAATGAATTAAACTTGAATTTGATGTGTTTTTAGCTAGTCAAAGAGAAGACCATATTTTCAACAGTATAAAGTAAAAGGGAATAAGAACTTTTTACTTCAAATTCTGATTTAAAGGATTAGAGACAGTTGCCTAAATGGTCGTGTTCAACAAAAGCTGTTTTTATATATTGCTAATATATGTCAAGTATTTATAAAAGATAAAACTTTAATGATTCAACTTCTCAAGCCCCAGGAGTACCACAGGATTGGTATTTACTGAACTATCATAATGATCTAGACTTAGATTACACAAAACAGGTAAGAATCAGCCTTAGCAATTTCAGATGCTCCTCACAGCTTTTGTCATACCCAAGCTGACAGCCACTGGCCACCACACACTCTGCAGCTGACCAGGGTCCGAGTCAGGGGCTTCCCAGGATCAAAGAAAACAGGACAAGGTCCTGGGGCATTTCTGCTACTCGATGTCTACTGACATGCAGAAGAAAAAGAATGAACTACATTGCTTATTCTTTAAAAATGGGCTTTCTATCACACGGCCTCTCTACCTCAGAAGGTTCTGAGGGACAAATAAACTGTTACAAATCCCAAACCTCTATTAGAAATGCAATATCGGGGATTAAATATTTATGTGCCTAACCCCAAAGGGCCTGGGTTACCACCTAATCAGTAGTCTTAGCTTTAGAAAGGAAAGAGCCAATTGGACCACATAGCCATATTTGAATGTATGTGTTTGGAATCCATTCATAAATTGTTATATTCATTAGGCCTACAAGAAAATAATTAGTCTCTAATTGCCTAACAAACCCAAATTTATTTCTAATTAAGCAAACAGATCTTAACCAATCCAACAGATTTATGACACTCTTATTGCTACAGAAAGCTCACCTTAATTTTACAGTCCATGGAGCAAGACAACAACAAATGGCCCGAGAGAGGAAACAATCTGACTGCACTGACGCCCTATTAAAAAGGTGTTACAGTTATCAGAAACATTCTAAACATCAGCGAAAATGAAACAAACAAGACAGCACAGATAAAACACTGTAAGTTGCTATCCAAAAATCATGCGTGCCCCAGAATAGCCCTCATTAGTATTCCCACAGTAGGCTTTCTTGACACTAAGCTTCACAAGATTTTCTTTTTTCAACCTTTCACATTGACTTCCTCACCCAAGAGAATTATGAGTCAAACAAACTGTTAATCCCCTCTCCCCTACTTTGCCTTTGTTTGCTTAGTCCCTTTGTTCTTTGCAAAGAGCTGGAAATGGTCAGTTATGATAGTGCAGATGCAGAATATCAACATGCAAAGCTTTGCTGTATGCTGTCCCTTGCACACACCATAGTTTAGACACTGGGGAGAATATCATCTGTGAAATGTGACTACTCCAAGAGTTAATGCAAACTGAATGAACCTAAGCAGCAGACTTGGTGCTAGTATCGGTGCATTACCCACTGACTTGCTGCCCAGCAGACAGTAGAGTAAGTAATAGTGTAGAAAGGACTGGGCTAATGTAAAGTGGGCAGGAAACCACATCACGAATGCTTCCATCATGGCCAAGACAGATGGCCCTGAAGAACAGTTAGTTCCTTGTGACTATGATGCGTGCGTACTCCCACAGCTTAACACAGATCTATCATCAAGTTGATTTCTCCACTCTGTCTTAACTTGTCTGCATTTTCACCAGAATTTTCCATACCAATAGCTGAAATTTCACATAAATGTCACTTTGGTGATATGACAGCAATCAAGCAACCAACTTGCCTACCTTTGTGTGTCCAGACCATACATGAATCTGCTTCTTTGGAAGATAACACTTCTCGGGTGGCACACTTGACCGCAGATTTACACCAACATCCTGAGGTATGTGAAGATAGGATCTGCCTTGATAGTCGTACATTTCCTTAACTGAAACCAGAGAGCAAAGGTTAGCATGTGAACAAGGACAAGCCAGAGCCTTGAAACCGACATTCTCAAAATGGCAACAGATATTGAATGTATGGCAGTACTACCCTGGTGATGTTAACATCAAGATATAGCTAAACCTTTGGCCTGAAACCACTACTACCGTTACAAGGATAGGTAGCATTTTTGAATTCCTAGGTCCCCAGCAAGTATCAGACCTTTAGATCTGAGCTATACTATTTCTACTCACACATTTTAATGATTAAAAGATTCAAAAACTTCACTGTAGTATAATTATAGCATAAGAAGAAAAGATAAAGAATCAGAAGCAAAACAGGGTAAGAAGGGAGTTAAAACAAAAAACAACAACAATCGTTCTCCCTTCTTTCTCCCTCTTTCTTATTCTGGTTCTTTTTATTCCTCTTCCTATTTTCACCACAAGGTTTACAATAATCATTTGTAGGAATTGAATGGCAGTATAGTTAAGCACTTAGCAGCATGCATGGTAGAGTAAATAATCAATAAAGGTTGGCTGTTACTGTTATGGTTACAAACACCACAGCACTGGAAATTCTTCGGAGTAAAACTAGAACTTACAAAACCAAATTCAGCCTCATCAATCCTAAATATTTGACACTGTATAATATCTTGACAATAAACATTATTAGTGCTACACTAGTCTTTACAGTTTCAGATAACTACATAATTTCCAAACATAACCAATCATTAACAAACAAGAATAGTCTAGAATATTTATAACTTATTTTGGTTAATACGCATTTCCTTCCACGACCCAAAATAAGCATAAACACGCTAATTACTAATCTATTTGCATGAAAAACCACCTTTAAAAATTTTTAACTTCATAATTATTATACTGGGAACTTACAAAATACACACACAAACACCCCCCAATTGCTGCTTCACTTCTCCAAATGGCCACAACAGCTGGAATAGGCTAGGTGAAAACCAGGAGTCTGGAACTCTTTCTGGGACTCCCACGCAGGTGGCAGGGACTGAAACATTGAGCCATCACCTGCTGCCTTCCAGGGTACATGTTACTAAGAAGCTGCAATCAGGGGCAAAGCCAGGATTTAATCCCAGGCATTCCGATCTGGCTTGTGGCTGTACCAAGCAGCACCTTTTTTTAAAAAATAAGATTTATTTTACTTTCAGCTGGGCCAGGCTAAAGCCAAGAGGAGCTTCTTCTGGGTGTCCTACATGGGTATAAAGACCCAAGCACTTTCATCATTTTCTGCTGCTTTCCTAGGTACATTAGCAGGGAGCTGGATCAGAAGTAGAGGTCTCAAACTGGTTTCAAACTGGCTCCCCCTGTAGGATCCTGGCACTGCAGGTGGGAGCTTAACTTGCCATGCCAAAGTGCTGGCCTATCAAACAGCATTGTTAACCACTGTGCCAAATGCCAGCTCCTAAATTTATTCTTACACTTTAGTAACAGCTATGAATTAAAAGATACTTGAATATTTGGCTTGTGTTAAAAACAACTGCTATGATTGGGTCACCGTTAATACACCAAAAGGAGACAATTTTACCTTAGGAAGGAGTAGACTGCATATTATTCAAATTCTTCTTTATCAACCATTTTTTAGAACACATTAATAGCTCCCACAGTTATCTTTGGTTATCACTACTCATCACATTTTCTCTCCTTTCGTATACACGGAAGACTGCTCTAATTTCTATGGGATGTAAAGTGTCTGACACAATTATTGTTAGTCTAATGATGTTACAGCAGCTGACAGCAAGGGCAGCTGATATACGAACAAAGAACAGGATAAACATGAACACCTCCATGAAGACGGAGAAAGGGGAAACACATTACCGTGCAAGATTGTCTTCTCCTCCCCGGGTTTCTCATCCTCCTGCTTGCCTTTTTTCTGCCTCTTTGCTGTGATTTCATCCAACTCCTTCTGCTCTTCCTAAGGTAATTAAGGAGTGAACTGTAACATGATTGTCTGAGAACTCTATCATGCCCGAAGTTGGTTATAAATTCTTAATAATGAGCTCCACAGTTGGGTGAAGCAATACCGCAAGTGTATCTTCAAGGGTAACAAGCTCAAGTGTTCTACAGAGGTTGCTGGCCTCTGCTACCATTTACAAGTGGAGTTAAACACGCAGAAAAGGATACCGGAACCTTCTGAAAATAAACACATTATGCTAATGATCCAAATGGAAGGACTAGGCAAGTAAAAAATCTAGTACCAGAAAGGAAACTGAATTTTAGCACTCAGTTCTGTTCTTCAGTAAGTGGCTTTTACATAGCCAGTCTGAAAGTTTGTGACAGAACTATTTTTTGTTTTTTAGAAAATGCAAAGATGGGTATTATGTATTAAATTTATATAATATGTCAAACGATGAGTTCTAAATATAAGTATATAAAGCAGCACATGCATATAAAGACATACAGCTGTAAGTCACAGCTAGACTGCTAGCCTCAAGAGACTAGGATTCTCTTCCTCTTGTCCATGGCTGCATTCCTGGGACACAGAAGGAAGGACAGCTGGCTCAGAGTGTGATTACATAGGTGGGAAAGGAAACGGGAAACCTCTGTAATTTGATTTTATAAACTAGAAGTATTATTTTCCTTTTTTTTTTTTTTAAAGATTTACTATTTTTATTTGAAAAGCAGAGTTGGTGAATAGAAGAGATACAGAGGGAGAGAGAAAGAGACACAGAGAAAGATTTTCCACCCATTGTTAATTTTCCACATGCTCACAATGGACAGAGCAGAGCTGGGGACATAGGGACCTTGAAGTGGCACAGTAAGCTAAGCCTCTGCCTGCAATGCCAGCATTTCATATGGCTACTAGATTGTGTCCCGGCTGCTTCACTTCCACTCCAGCTTCCTGTTCAAGCCCTGGGAAAGCAGCAGAGGTTGGCTTATGTGCTTGGGCTCCTGCATCCACATGGGAGACCTGGAAGAAGCTTTTGGGCTCCTGACTGCAGACAGGTCCAGATTCTGGCCACTGTGGCCATTTGGGGAGTGAACCAATGGATGGAAAATCTCTTTCTCTCTGTAACACTGCCTTTCACATAAAAAATTTAAAAATATATATATATGTATAGCTACAACTTGCCAAAAATTTAATTAGCAAATAAACTCACTGTCAAAATCAGTTTAAGAGAAAGACTGTTTCTTATGTTACTATCTGAATGCTGGAAGCTGAAGAGCATTATCAAGGTATTATATTCTATTTTAATGTGTTATAGTCCCAAAGAAAATAAATCAGAGAAGGTAAATAAGATCCCAAAGGAGAATAAAGAATGTTGCTGTGTTTTCTCAGTCTATCATGTCAGGGTAGAGACATTTTGATGAGTCATTTGGTTTTCCACAGAAATATCAAGTTTATTAATGTACATACCCTTCAAAGAGATACTGCATAGAGCTTATTTGGCAAAGAAACATATAAAAGCGTACCTCTGAGGGTTTGGCAACATCTTTTTCATCCACATATTTTGCCCATGGTCCCAAGAAACCATCAATATTAGATGCATCGTTTTCTTTGAACTTTTTCCTTTTTTCTGTTTTCTTCTGACCAGTTTCAAACACAGTTAAACCTACATTGACAACAAAACAGCACAAGTGGGTATATTTCTAGAAAAATATCAGCATATATAGTTTACATGGTTAAAAAAAGAAAAGTGGTCTTCAAGTGACCAGAGTTACTGAAAGCATAAAAACAAACAAAACCTTCCAATTCGGCCACAAAGTCCAGCTCAGGCTACAAAAAAAAAAAAAAAAAAAGAGAAAGAGACTCCCCTTCTGAGAAGAGAAGCTTTCCATCACTGCAAAATTACATGTCCTGTTTCGGGGGCCGCTTCCTTCGGGGTGAGTAGACCGAGGGGGGAGGCCTCCGGGACTGGGCAGGTCCGGGGCCCACCCGCCGCCTTCATGGGGCGGTGAATGGGATTTGGGAGGGGCGCGACCTTGGGCCTGGGTTATTTAAACCTCCAGCTGCCTCCTGGCAGCTGGTGGGTCTCAGGACGGGGCGTCTCATGCCTGGATCCCGGACGGCCGCCATGGGCACATGGTGAGCCGTCCTCCCCGGGCCTGCTGGGTTTCGGGGGCCGCTTCCTTCGGGGTGAGTAGACCGAGGGGGGGAGGCCTCCGGGACTGGGCAGGTCCGGGGCCCACCCGCCGCCTTCATGGGGCGGTGAATGGGATTTGGGAGGGGCGCGACCTTGGGCCTGGGTTATTTAAACCTCCAGCTGCCTCCTGGCAGCTGGTGGGTCTCAGGACGGGGCGTCTCATGCCTGGATCCCGGACGGCCGCCATGGGCACATGGTGAGCCGTCCTCCCCGGGCCTGCTGGGTTTCGGGGGCCGCTTCCTTCGGGGTGAGTAGACCGAGGGGGGGAGGCCTCCGGGACTGGGCAGGTCCGGGGCCCACCCGCCGCCTTCATGGGGCGGTGAATGGGATTTGGGAGGGGCGCGACCTTGGGCCTGGGTTATTTAAACCTCCAGCTGCCTCCTGGCAGCTGGTGGGTCTCAGGACGGGGCGTCTCATGCCTGGATCCCGGACGGCCGCCATGGGCACATGGTGAGCCGTCCTCCCCGGGCCTGCTGGGTTTCGGGGGCCGCTTCCTTCGGGGTGAGTAGACCGAGGGGGGGAGGCCTCCGGGACTGGGCAGGTCCGGGGCCCACCCGCCGCCTTCATGGGGCGGTGAATGGGATTTGGGAGGGGCGCGACCTTGGGCCTGGGTTATTTAAACCTCCAGCTGCCTCCTGGCAGCTGGTGGGTCTCAGGACGGGGCGTCTCATGCCTGGATCCCGGACGGCCGCCATGGGCACATGGTGAGCCGTCCTCCCCGGGCCTGCTGGGTTTCGGGGGCCGCTTCCTTCGGGGTGAGTAGACCGAGGGGGGGAGGCCTCCGGGACTGGGCAGGTCCGGGGCCCACCCGCCGCCTTCATGGGGCGGTGAATGGGATTTGGGAGGGGCGCGACCTTGGGCCTGGGTTATTTAAACCTCCAGCTGCCTCCTGGCAGCTGGTGGGTCTCAGGACGGGGCGTCTCATGCCTGGATCCCGGACGGCCGCCATGGGCACATGGTGAGCCGTCCTCCCCGGGCCTGCTGGGTTTCGGGGGCCGCTTCCTTCGGGGTGAGTAGACCGAGGGGGGGAGGCCTCCGGGACTGGGCAGGTCCGGGGCCCACCCGCCGCCTTCATGGGGCGGTGAATGGGATTTGGGAGGGGCGCGACCTTGGGCCTGGGTTATTTAAACCTCCAGCTGCCTCCTGGCAGCTGGTGGGTCTCAGGACGGGGCGTCTCATGCCTGGATCCCGGACGGCCGCCATGGGCACATGGTGAGCCGTCCTCCCCGGGCCTGCTGGGTTTCGGGGGCCGCTTCCTTCGGGGTGAGTAGACCGAGGGGGGGAGGCCTCCGGGACTGGGCAGGTCCGGGGCCCACCCGCCGCCTTCATGGGGCGGTGAATGGGATTTGGGAGGGGCGCGACCTTGGGCCTGGGTTATTTAAACCTCCAGCTGCCTCCTGGCAGCTGGTGGGTCTCAGGACGGGGCGTCTCATGCCTGGATCCCGGACGGCCGCCATGGGCACATGGTGAGCCGTCCTCCCCGGGCGGCCAGTGCGCCATTGGTGCCAGGCTCCGCCTGCTGGCCGCCCGGCTGGGGAGCTCTGGGGATTTGGTTCTTTGAGTTGCTGCTTAATTAGCTCCAGGTTGAACCCATTGTGCTTCTTGGACCTGAAAGAGGCAGTAACTCTTCCTTAGCAAAACTTGTAATCACTAATAATTCTGAGCACCAAATACCAGTCATGCAGAAGCTATGGCTTGGGGCTTGCCCTGCACAAGTAGCTCCAACAGTTGGCCAATGTGTCAACTGGTAATGGAACAGAGTAGATTAGGCACGACTGAGCAAACCTTAGCCCACAAGTAAAACTAGAAACCAGGAGGGAGCAGAGGTCATGCCGAGCTAGGCTCTTGTACCTGCTGGTCTGTGGGAGCCTGGGACGCTAAGCCACAGTGTCTAAGGCAGAGTTCGGGACAGGGGAGGGGTTGTGCCAAGCTGAGTCAGAGCATCCATTGGCAGGCATGTGATCTATGCCTGGGAACGGACCCGGTTGGGGAGCAAAGGGGACAACCCTAGCTGGGCTGAGGTTCCCACCAAGAGGCGCGTGGCCTGGAAGGGGGCTGCGTTCTGATCTGGAAACAGTTGTAGTCTCCCTTGGCACAAGTGTGGACTGGGATTGGATGCACCGAACTGGGCCGGACCCCGACTCCCCCTGGTGTTCTGGAGGACCAGGGCAGATGTGGGATGGACTAGGCAGGGTCTCAAACCCCTACTGAGCCATGTGTGAGCCATACGTGGGTATGGACAAACCATGGCTGGGCTGGAACATCCAACAGCAAGAACCAGATTGGGTTGAAGGCCAGTCAGGAAAAGCCACAGTTCCTGCTATGACAGGAGGTGGACTGAGTAGGGTTGGCTCATGGACCCACTGGTAAGCGTGAAACCTGGCATTGGGAGAGGTTCTGATGGAGGAGCCTGGGCAACTCCTCTGGCAGGACACAGACCCAGCAGGTAAACGCAAGAAACATGATAGGAAACAGCCCAGAAAAGGCCATGGAAACCTACCCACTGGCATACAGTTGGCAGACGTGGGGGCAAGACCAGGCTGAATCTGTCCACATCATCCACTGGCAAATCCAGGCACCAGTGTGGGTCGACCCAGGGTCGGTCGCAACAAAGACTAGTGCACATTATGGAATGCCGAGGTGAGGTTGCCTGTACCAGAAGGGACCGCAGCGCCCAACCAGCCTGAGAACAAGCAAGGAAGTGGGCAGAGCTGGCAGGGGAATAAGGGAGGGTTCCTTTGCTGGACAGCTACTTCCGCAGGAGAGCATGGGCTGGGATGGGGGCAGACCAGACTAGGCAGAGCTACCACACCTGTGCGCCTCATGTGGACTAGATCAGGGAAAAGCCAGGCTGGGCGGATTATTCCTACTGGTGCAAACAAAATTAAAGTGGGCGAGGTTTGTTTGGGCAGCATCAACTGGAATCTGGGAGTGGGAGAGGCCTGGGAGGGAAATAGTGGGCTCATCCCTCTTGGGTTACCACTTCCACGGGAGGACATAAAACTAAGACAGCGGCTGGGGTGGAATGGGATGTGGGACAGACTGGATTACTGCTACACTTACTGGCAAACCAGGGTAGGGGGTGGGCCTGGTTGGGGTTATTGTGGGTCGCTCCAACCTAGGCTACAGCTCCCGCTGGTTTATGTGAGGGCCAAGTATGTGCTGGGCAGAACCAGACTGGACTGCAACACCCATTGGCTCCAGTGGAAGACGGGAGTGAAAACAGAACCAACCCAGGAATTGCAAATTACATGTCCTAATAAACTTAATGAAAAGATATGCTATTCTATAATGGTGCAAACATTTTAATGAATCCAAAAACTGTATCAGTGGATTTTTGCCAATTTTTGAAAGAAATCCAGAAACTCAGTATTGCTAAGCTATGATAAAGCTACCTTTGAAAGCAAGAATAAACTGTAATTTATCATTTAAAAACTAAATTATGCCTCACTAGGAAAGCAACAACATAAATTTAAAAAGCTTCCATAGGAATCTGGTATTTGTTCCAACTGATTCTAATTTACACTTGACCTCTAACATCATCAATTTTAACAGTTAAATAGAAACCAGCAAGGTGGATGTTTCTGGCTGAGACTATGATTTGGTTAGTAGGAGAAGGTATGCTATGAGTCATTAAAATTGGTAAAAACAAAGGTTTTTTAAGCGGCACAGTTAAAAATTAACTAAAAATCAGCTACATATGAACATGATTTCCAGTGGCTTAGCTTAAAAAAAAGTATAACTATATTACTATATAATTGAAATCAGTCTCCTTTAGGCTATGTGTTATAACAAAAGCTTGTTTAAATCCTGTTCTAACAATAATCTAGATCAGACTCAGAAGGCAGCTTGATGATGCCAGGGTCTACTAGCATGAAGTTGTAAGGGTTCTGTGATAATGCTGCATTTTTCTAAGACAGCATTTTATGGATTTTATGTGACAAGTTACCATTCACACTATAGTGCTTTATCTTGTTATAGTAGGCCAAAATGAGTAAAAACATAAGCTTCTTTTTACATCTCATATTTAAACACAGTTTTCAAAGCAGCTCTTCAAAGAGAATCTTCAAGGAGAAGCACAATGACAATTTTCAATTAGGTTAAGATGCAGCTTGACAATGGTGTTGAGAAGTCACCTGTCAAATTTTACCATACATTAACTATGATTATTGGATGACTTCTAAAGGGCTGGCACAATGGTGAGCACACAAAACAATCAAAAAAGATACATATCACTATTTTCTTACTTTTTTGTGTGTTATGTGTTTCTTTTTAAGTTTATTACTACTATATTATTTTCCATGATACAGTTTTGTAGGTAACACCAACATTTTCATTATTAGGTTGCACAGGTATTAAGTGTCAAAACTAAGCTTCAGACTATGTATAAACTGTATTGTTCTAAACTATATTGTCTCAACTAAAAAAAACAACAATAACAAGATGTGGGCATTTAGTCTACTAGTTAAGATGCTGGTTAGGATCCCCCCTGCATTCCACGCTGGAACACTTAGTTGAACACTCAATTCTGGCACCTGACTCTTAACGCTTCCTCTTAAAGCAGGCCCTAGGAGGTAATGCTGACGGCTGAGTCTGTGCTGCCCATGTAGACACTGGCTTGCCCAGGTTCTGTCGTGGTGGGCATTTGGGGAGTGAACCTGAGCACGGGAGCATGTTCTCTCTCTCCTGCCTCTGTCAAATAATTAAATAAAAATAAAATGACAATAAATCAAGAGCTATCTAGGTTTTCCTACTATTGCTATGAAATACTTACAGGATTGTGTTTGACATTAAATATTTCAAATGAATTACCTTGATTTTTTTCAGCTTCTTCTACAGAACCAATATACTTGGTAGTCACTTGATGATTATCTAATGAAGGGTCCAATGCATAACCTGAAAGGAAAAGTGTGCAAATTATGAAATCCACTTTGCCATTTACAACTCACTTTAAGAACACTCATTTCACATTTTCCTTTCCAGAGGGAATTTTTAACTTGGACTAATCCTTCTTTTCTGGGCTCTGTTTCTATGTAAGACAACTAATCCAAATCTTAGGCTGGACTATGAATGACTTAGCAGAACAAGAAGTTACCTTATAGGATGAAGCTGCCATTTTGACATTACACTACCAAGAGTCTATCTGACCAAGACAACAAATCTTAAGTAGTCTGAGAGCCTAGGAACACCTTATACATTTGGAAACTATTTCTTTTTTCTTTTGGGCAACGCATATTTAAGGGTTAACTTGGTCAGATTATGTATGTAAACTAAATAAAGAAATAAGGTTAAATAATCACAAAATGCCATTCTCAGCCCAATGTGATAGCCCGGTAGATAAATCCTCACCTTACACACACTGGGATAACACATGTGTGGCCAGTTTGTGTCCTGGGTGCTCCATTTCCCTCCCAGCTCCTTGTTTGTGGCCTGGGAAAACAGTGGAGAATAGCCCAAGGCTTTGGGACCCTGCAACTGTGTGGGAGATGCAGAAGAAGCTCCTGGCTTTGGATCAACTCAGCTCTGGTCGCTGTGGCCACTTGGGGAGTGAACCAGTGAATGGAAGATCTTTAATGATCTCTCCTCTCTGTTAGTTTGCCTTTCCAAGAAAAATAAATTAAAAAAAAAGAAAATGCCATTCTCAACATGGAGAGCTTTCCTTCTCAATCTTAAATAATAATGTACTTCATAAGTCTGTTTGTAAATGAGGTACATAAGGCTATTTGACAGCACCTGAACTCAATCTTTCAACCAGTTGTACAGTATGTAGCTCCACAGAAATAAGGTCCTTAGTGCTGCTAGTTTTGTTATTTGCTCTGATGTCCCGCAAAGACTGATGGGTTCAAGGTGTGGCCCTATGGTGCTATTAGGAGAGAGTGGAGCCAAATAAAGATCTCAGGAGAAGGGTTTGGCAGGAGGTCATTGGGGCTGCATCCCAGAAGGTCACTGTTCCAAGCATTGGTGTAAAGCCAGGGTTGGTCCAGCTACATTTGGCTTTCTGTCTCACAATGCTATCCTACCTGTAGTTGCTCCACCAGTCATTTTATATGTCAGACAGGGGAGCTGCCCTACATCGAGCTGTGAACCTACACACCCATGAGCGTAGCTTAAATAAACCTCTTTTCATAGATAGCTTTTCTCAGGTACTTATTACAGTGATAAAATGCTGACTACTACAAATGGTCTGTGGGAACTTAAAGTCAACCTCAATTAACTCAAAGTAGTTTCCCTTTAAGTGAGTATGCTAGTATAATAAATGTCTGGCATAATCAGTTTTAATATTCATGAAAGCTCCAACACTAATCAGTTTGTGGCCCACAGCTCATATGAACAATTAACTAAATAATAAAAAGTACCAGCCTATATTTTTAAAGGGTACATCCCAGTGGATGTATTCGGCCTTTTTATTTTTCAGCCAAGATTAAAGATTCTTCCTCTGTGGATCAAAAAATGATTTGTCATGAAACATACTTTTCAAACAAGCTGAAGATTTAAGTGCTCAACTCACCCTTGAGACATACTAGACTAACCACCTATGAGCTATTAGCTCATTTGCATATCCTTTTTTCCCCATAATTAAAATCTGTTTTAGAGGAGATGGCTTGGTGACAGAAAAGCAGTTTTGAGACAGAATCTGAAATCACTGGTACAAATCTCATGAGTTTTTACTTTTTACTTCTTTGACTACAGAACAGTGTTCTGCACATGAACTTTTTGGATGAGATTTTTAATAAGGTTCTTATAAATTCAGACCAACAAACCCTAAATTAAAAATTCCCACTTCAGGGCCTGGCATGTTGGCTCGATTATCTAACCCTCCATTTTCAGTTGCTGGCATCATACATGGGCATTTGTTTATGTCCTGGCTGCTCCACTTCCCATCCAGCTCCCTGCTTGTGGCCTGGGAAAAGGAGTTGAGGATGGACTAAAGCCTTGGGATCCTGCACCTGCGTGAAAGACCCAGAAGAGGCCCCTGGCTCCTCCTGAAGGGAAATGATGGGTATACACAGGACCAGGTTTGACGTGCTGAAGACGTGGCGAAGGAGGCAGAGGAAGAGATATTCCGTGGTCCTTTCTGCCTCTGTCTGGTTTCTCCTTTGCTTATAGGGAAAAGTCTTGCTGCCACCAGCCCACTGCTACCTTCCACTCCTAGTGACTATTTTCTTTATACAAATAACAGAAGTTAAATATTTAGCCATGAACCTTACTACACATTAGCCAAGGATGAAACCAGGCCCAACTCAAACACTAGAGAATTTCAGCCAAATTAGTTTTTTATTATCCTATATTTCAAGTAAATGAATGTGCTTTTTAGTTCTTAAATAATTTTTACCTATATTTCAAAGCTTATTTTTTCATTTTTATCTTTTTGATGGTGTAATGCCTATATTTTCCCTTTTTGGTAGTTTCACTAGAAATGATTGTGATAACAATTTAATTATTAAAACCTTAAGACTGTTAATTCTAATATTCCAAGAAGTAAAAGAGACGAGACTATAAATGATCTGCAAAGTAATACTCTCAACCATATGGAAAGACTTTCAAACTTTCCAGTAGTCAAAAAAATCATGACTGAAATAGAGATCACTGATTCACAATCAATAAAAGGAAAAACAATCATAATGATCTTGAATAAAAATAAAGAGAACCTTTATACATGACGGTGGCAAAAGAAGCCTGGGAAAATTTTTAGAAACCAATTTGGTAATATATAATAAAAATTTTAGGATACATTCTTTGATCTACTTTTGGAGATTAATTTTTAGAAAATATCTTAAAGACTGTGCAATGTTATATAGAAAAATATTTACTATGATATTTTGAAAGGTATGACAGAGAGGTCCGCAAACACATCGTGAATGAGAGCCAAGCACAAAACTGCAGGATTAAGTGAATGAGATGACATGGTAGGTAAGACTATCTCAACTTCTTATCTGCAGGTAGACTCTATGATAAGCTAAAGGCATTATACCATATGAATTTTCCAGAAGTAATCTGCTGAGATTATAACAATACAACATTTTAAAATGGGGAGAAAAAAAGATCAGTTTGTGCCACAACCACAAAGTAATATCACAGAGTGATGAACTGACTACATATGCCTTGTCATTTATTTCTCACAGCTAACACTAGCACAAAAGGCTTGCTCCCTGGTACTTTGCCAATGAGGAAACATTTTCTATATGCAACAAAAAACAAGACAAGTAGACAGCAAGTTGGCATGGAAATCACAATCTGAAAGGAGGCAGGAACTTTCTATGAGAAAAATATAATACTCAAAAATAACAGAAGGTAGGGCCGGTGTGATGGCACAACTAGCTAATCTTCCACCGACAATCACCGGTATCCCATATGGCCACCGAATAGTGCCCAGGCCGCTTCACTCCTGATCCAGCTCCTGTTTGTGGCTTGGGAAAAGCAGTCCAGGTCCTTGGGCTGCTGAACCCACATGGATAACTCAGAAGAAGCTCCTGGCTACAGATTGGCTCAGCTCTGGGTGCTACTGCCATTTGGGCAGTGAATAAATGGATTGAAGATCTTTGTCTCTCCTCAGTAAATATGATCTGCCTTTCCAACAAAAATAAATAAATCTTAACAAAATAAAATAATATAAGTTATACTTGCTAAATACTTGGTGATTGAGAAAAAGGAATGTTAAAGCTGGGCCTGGTTAGTACTTCGATGGGAGAAAAAGGAATGTTAAAGCTGAAGTTATTCACTGATTTAAACAAACTGCTCTCAGTTTTTTGGTTTTTTAATTTTTTTTTGGCAAAGTCAGCTATACAGAGAGGAGGAGAGACAGAGAGGAAGATCTTCTGTCTGTTGATTCATTCCCCAAGTGACCGAGCCACGAACTTCTTCCAGGGTTCCCACATGAATGCAGGGTCCCAAGGCTCTGGGCTTTCCTCTATTGCTTTCCAAGGCCACAAGCAGGAGCTGGATGGGAAGCAGGGCTGCTGGGATAGAAACAGTGCGCAGAGGGGATCCTGGCAGGTGCAAAGGCGGAGACATTCCATTATCGTTTCCTGTCTCTTTTTTTAAAACTGGTCACTTTCCTTATTCTGAGTGCCCCGATATACTATAGAATCATATTTATTTCTTTTGTCTTTAGCTCATTACTTCCTCCTGGTGGGAAAGGCAAAAGACCCCAGCCACTTTATTTATTTTTAAAGATTTACTTATTTGGGGCCTGGCACTACAGCCTAGTGGCCGGGATCCCATAAGGGCGCCGGTTCTGATCTCAACAGCCTGCTTCCCATGCAGCTCCCTGTTTGTGGCCTGAGAAAGCAGTCAAGGATGACTCAAGGCTTTGGGATGCTGCACCTGTGTGGGAGACACAGAACAGGCTCCTGGCTTCGGATTGGTTCAGCTCCAGCCCTTGTGAGCACTTGCGGAGTGAGCTGGTAGACGAAAGATCTTTCTCTTTGTCTCTCCTCTGCTCTGTATATCTAACTGTCTAGTAGAAACAAATGTTTATTTATTTCTATTTATTTATTTGCTTATTTATTTATTTATATTGGAAAGGCAGTTTACCAGAGAGAAGGAAAGATAAAGAAGATCCTCCATCTGCTGGTTCATTTCCCAAGTGATCACAGCGGCCAGCACTGAGCTGATCTGAAGCTAGCAGCCAGGAGCTTCATCTGGGTCTCCCACGTAGGTGCAGTGGCCCAAGGACCTGGGCCATCCTTTGTTGTTTTCCCAGGCCACAAGCAAGGAGCTGGATGGGATGTGGAGCAGCTGGAATCCATATGAGATACAGTGCTTGAAAGTGGAGGAGCAGGGTCTGGCGCTGTGGTGCAGTGGCTAAGGTCCTCGCCTTGCACGCCTGGGATCCCATATGGGCGCCGGTTCCAATCCCGGCAGCCCACTTCCCTTCCAGCTCCCTGCCTGTGGCCTGGGAAAGCAGTCGAGGACGGCCCAAAGCTTTGGGACCTTGCACCTGCGTAGGAGACCCGGAAGAGGCTCCTGGCTTCGGACCGCCATAGCATCGGCCGTTGTGGTCACTTGGGGAGTGAATCATCGGATGGAAGATCTTCCTCTCTGTCTCTCCTCTCTGTATATCCGCCTTTCCAATAAAAAATAATAATAATAATAAAAATAAATCTTTAAAAAAAAAAGTGGAGGAGCAGCCTGTTAAGCCTCCAAACCAGACCTAAAACAACTGGATAGTTTCAGATGTGTGTCCTTGCTATAAGGTAGTCTAAGAAAAAAAAAAGTAATTATCAGTAAAAACTTTTGATGCTTTGTTTTAAAGAAGATGTAAAACTTCATGTTGTTGTTTAAGGCTCTTCTAAAGCTTTGAAGAAAGTAAGCAGTCTTTAAAGGTCTATTTTACCAAAGGCTAGAATAAAATAAATTTACAATGCACCAGTTCAGATTTATGTGGGATCTCTTATATAAACAATGGGTACAATGCATTTGTAACTATTCTATCTGACTAGAATTATTACTTCTTTCTTTTTTTTTTAAAGATTTATTTAATTTTTATTGGAAAGTCAGATATACTCAGAAGAGACACAGAGAAGGTCTTCCATCTGCTGATTCACTCCCCAAGTAGCTGCAATGTCAGAAGCTAAGCCAATCCTAAGCCAGGAGCCCAAATTCTTGTCCGGGTCTCCCAAACAGGTGCAGGGTCCCAAGGCTTTGGGCCATAGTCCACTGCTTTCCCAGGCCAAAAGCAGGGAGCTGGATGGGAACCAGGGTCACCGGGATGAGAACCAGTGCCCATGTGGGATCTTGGTGCATACAAGGTGAGGACTTTAGTTGCTATGCTACTACGCGGGGCCCTGAACTTCTTTCTTTAAAGATTTACTTATTTTAAATGAAAGGTAGAGTTTTAGAGAGAAGGAGAAACAGAAGGAGAAAGGGAGGGAGTCAAGAGGAGAGAGAAAGAGAAAATACAAGAGACAGATCTTCCATCTGCTGGTGCACGTTCCAGTTGGCAGCAATGGCCTGGTCCAAGCCTAAGCCTGGAGCCAGAGCCTCATTCAGGCCTCCCATTAAATGAAAAGAGGCTCAAATACTTTAGGCACCTCCTGTTACTTTTTTCTAGGGGCATAGCAGGCATCTGAATAGGAAGTGGAGCAGCCATAATGCCAACCTGCTCCCATATGAAATAGTGGCATTATATTCAGTGGCTTAACCAGCTAGGTCATTGAATTCTTTTGAGTGGTATAGAGTATAAGCTAAGACTTGGCACACTGCAAGTATAAGATAAGCTTACTATGGTGAAATATGAGATTAATTAAAAAGGTTATAAAATAGAATTTAAAGGTAATTTTACTTTGGTGCAAAAATTTTAAATTCATGCAGTTTTTAATACGCATTTTTTTCATAAACTTTCTGAAAACTCCTTGAAAAGATTTCAAAATTTTCTCCCACTATATCCCTGCATGATATAATGTAACAATTGTTTTTACAACCAGTTTCTATACTCTTTAAACAATCTCACCATTCATAGAATATAAGACTTGCACAATGAATTTGTGCTTATTCTATTTCCTGATACCACTTAGTGATTAACAGAAACTGGATCTGAGAAACAGAGCAGCATTAACTAGCATACAGTAAGATTTAAAAACAAATGCAATTTCTTAACACTATTCTTTCCTTTACAACTTTAGTAGTATATAATGGATACTTGATAGCAAGTGATCATTTTGAACTACAATAACAAAGGACATTTTGTGTTTAAGATTACAGTCTTTCCAATACTCAGAAATTAGTGAATTTAAGATGATACCTAACAATACTCATTCATCTTCTCAGTTGTGTAACTGTTTCCAGATGTACTTAAACTTTCTGAAGGTATCTAAATTAATAATTTCTAAAAGTCATAAGACACACACATACACACATTCTTCTAGTAAGGCCAAAGTTGAAACTGTTTAAATCTCTTACCATATGTGGCAAAAGTTCTTCTCTGCTGTTCAAACATAAAGTCATTGATATGAGCTGGTTCAGCATATCCAGAAAGCATATTTCTAGGGGCAGCCATTTGCTGTGTTCTAAAGGGATTTTCTGGTCCAAACTATAAGGTTATAGGGAAAAGAAGGAAAAGTAGTTTTGAATATGTGAAACTCAGAATTACTGAAATCATGCTACAATATAGTTTCAACTCAAACTCACCAGGACCTGATTAGTCTATGTGAAAACATGCTGATATATGGGGTACAGTGTGGATGGTCAATGGCTGACTGGCCCTGTCTATCGGCCTCTGGGACAGAAGGGGAGGAGCCCAGACCACCCAAGTCTTTACATGGTCTTGATTTCAAGAACTCAGCAAGCTGTGAGATGTCAACACCTTAACCATTGTACCAAATACCTGCCCTACTAATTCTATTGCTTAAAGAAAAATTCTCAGGGTTAAAGAATCGTAACTTCTATACAAACACAGATCCTATATTAAAATTAAGTTTATTTTATATATGGTGCTACTCCCAAAACAACCTTAAATGGAAATGTGCTATGTCTTATGAATATTTAAGCTGAGAAACAAAATCTCTCAGTGCCATGAGAGACTGGGCAGGGCAGGGTCCATCTTCTTCAGGCTTGCCTTTACTGCCTGGCTACTGGCTGCTACTGGAGCTGATCATTAAATGTCATTCAGCAGGACTCAGCTCTTCCCAATTACTCAAAATATATTTCTTAGATGTTTCTGGTCCCTGTGAATACAGTTTTCAATTTTGGAATACCGAAAAGCAAAACAAAACATATAACAATATACAAAACTGATTTCTAAATAATACCTTTGAAATCTTGGTAGTCAGTTAAATCTGAGAGTAAATTTGCATGCAAGTAATTTAAAAAATTTGGTTATATGTAAGTAAATGTATAAATATATAACATTCACATACATATAAGTGAATGTATAATATATTCAAGTTAATTCCTTATGAATATTTAACAGTTTTAGTCAAAACAATATTAGAACACCACAGTTAATTACAACCATAATCTCCCCATAGAAAACACATATTTGACAGGAAATGTTTGTAAATCATATATCTGATTATATATAATTATAATATTTATATCTGAAGTATATAAAGAACTCAAGCAACTCAACTCCAAGAAATGACTACATAAAATGGGCTAAGGACCTGAACAGATACTTCACAAAAGGCATACAAACAGCTAATAGACATTTTAAAAAAACTGTTCAAGCTTCAGAAATCATCCACAAAATTAAAATTAAAACCACAGTGAGGTATCATTTTATGTCTCTTAGAATGCTATTATCAAAAAGAGGAAAACTAAGTTTCAGCAAGGACGTGAGGAAAGGGAATCCTTGCATACTGTTAATGGGAATGCAAATTAGTACAGTTACTGTGGAAAACGATATGAAGCTCCCAGTAAATTGAAAACAGAACCACTGTAGGATCCCACAATCCCACTATTGACTATATATTCATAGGAAATGAAATTAGTATGCAAAACAGCTAACTGTACTATCTTATTCATTGTAGTATTATTCACAAAAGTCAAGCTATGGAATCAAACTGAAGTGTCTTCAACAGGTGAATGGATAAAGAAAATGTGTGTGTGTGTGTGTATACATAGATATGCATAAAGTAGAGTGGGTACCATTCAGTTTTAAAGGAAATCTTGTCATTTGTGACAAGGGCAAACCTATATCTAGAAGATATTATAAGTGAAATAAGCCAGGTACAGAAAGATAAATAATGCATGACTTCCCTGACACATGCAATCTAAAAACGATGAAAATGAAGCAGGGAATAGAACTGTGATTACCAGCAGCTAGCAGGTGAAGGGGATGCTGGTCAAAGCAGATGAAATTACAATTGGAAAGGAGAACCACATTTCAGATACTGCACAAAACACAGGCTACAATTAACCAACACGTCTAACACTGTATTCTTAAAAAAAAAAAAAAACAGGAAAAATAATTTGAAAGGCAGAGACAGAGAGCTAGAGAAAGATAGAAAGATAAGTGCTGTCTAACCTGCAAAGGCCCACCCTGGGCCTAGACTGAAGTCAGGAACTCAATCCAGATCTCCCTGGTTGCAGAAAGAACCCTATTACTTGAGCTGTCACCGAAGCCTCCCTGGCTCTACACTGAGGAGAAGCTGGCATCAAGGCACAGCCAGGATTTGAACCCTGGTACTCTGGTATGGACCAGGGGCATCTTAATTTCTAGGCCAAATGACTGCTCCCAAGTACTATATTTTTCAAAATCACTGAAAGATTTTAAATATTCTCTCCAAAAATAAGTGTGTACGATAATCCATGTTAATTAGCTCAACCATTCCAAATGTATACATACTTCAAAATAACATGCTATATGTGACGAATATTTACAATTTTTGCCAATTTAAGAATGTAACTTTAGGTTTGGGCCTTGGGGTTGGGGGCAACTGCTGCTCCCTGCAGTGTGGCGGCTGTAGGGCGTGCCCAATGCTGGGGACTCAAGCCAAAGACACTGCCGCAAGGCAGTGAATGAGTCCTTGGCCTTGGGCGTCCAGTGCACCAAGTGGTGCCAGGCTTTGCCTGCTGGCCATCTAGTTGTGAACTCTGGGGTTTTAAAGATATGTAGTTGCTGCCTGGGGACACCCATGAATAAGGCCAGTTTTAGTGTAGGTGAGAAGTGATTTTTGGATGATTCACGGTGACAGGGTCATGAAAGTTTCAGGCATGCGTGGGGACTGAGACCTGGTGGTTTGGAGGAAAGTATCCAGAAGATAATTTGGGTTAGACTGATTCACCAGCTCAATTAGGAATCCAGAGATGGGCTGGTAGCATAGAACATCACTGATGGCCACACACCAGTCCACACCAAAGCTATGGATGGGGGCCTGTTTGGCAGGGTTAGGTACCATTGCCCAACTGGATGGTGGAGTGGTCACATTTGGCAAGGTCAAGACACTATCCAGCATGCAAGAGAACTCGGTCTGGGGGTAGACTCTGTGGGTTTGTGTGGGCCCAACCCTGTGGTAATACAAGTCCCCCTGGTTAGCTCACAAGCTGGGGTTACAATGGACTAAGGTAGGTGTGACCATGGCACCTGCCATCACTCACAGATAAAGGAACTCACAACAGTCTGGGCAGGTCAAGGCAGCAGCACCCAAATGTGCATCCTGAAACAGGATGTGGGGTGGGCTGGGCTGCAACTGGAAGGGGGCAGAATGGGCAGGGCCGAGCAAACCTTAACTCACAAGAAACAACAGAAATCAGGTTGGAGCACAGGCCATGCCAAGTAGGCCCTAGCATCTACTGATCTGTGTAAGCCAGGGACGCTAAGCCACAGCATCTAAGGCAGGGGCCAGGACAGGTGAGGGGCTATGCCAAGCTGAATCAGAGCAACCAGTGGCCTGAGCGTGAACTAAGGCTCGGAATAGGCCCGCTTGGGGAGCTTAGGGAACACCTTAGCTGGGTTGAGTTTCCCACCAAGGAGCGCATGGGCTGGAATGGGTGCTGCATTCTAACCAGGATATAGTTGTGGTCTCCACTGGCACAAGTGTGGACTGGGACTGAAAGCACCAAACCGGCCGACACTCCAGCACCATCTTGTGCTCTGGTGGACCAGGGTAGATGTGAGACAAACTAGGCTAGGCTTCAGCCCTTACTTTACCATGTGTGAGCTGTATGTGGGTATGGACGAGTCATGGCTGGGTTGAAACATCCAACAGTAAGAACCAGATTCAGTTGAAGGCCAGTCAGGAAAAGCCACCATTCCTGCTAGGATAGGAGGTGAATTGAGTAGGGCTGGCTCAAGGACCCACTGGTATGCATGAAATCTGGCACTGGGAGAGGTTCTGATGGAGGAACCTGGACAACTTCTCTGGCAGGACACAGTCCCTGCAGGTAAGTGCAAGAAGCACAATAGGAAACAGCCCAGAACAGGCTATGGAAATTATCCCAGTGGCATACACATGGCATGGGTTGGGGGTAGACCAGGCTGAACCTGCTCACATCACCCGCTGGTGAATCCGAGCACCAGAACTGAGTGTGGGTCGGGCCAGTTTCGGTTGTGACAAATACCAGTATACATTAAGGAATGCCAAGGTGAGATGAGCTGTACCAGATGTGGTTGCAGCACCCAAACAGCACATGTGAAAATCGGGGGGAGCAAAGCCGATAGAGGAATGTGTGTTTCCCTGCTGGACAACTACTTCCATTGGAAAGCGTGAGTCGGGATGGAGGCAGACCAGAAGGCAGGGCTATAATACCTGTGGGCCTCATGTGAGCTAGATAAGGGAAGGGCCAGGATGGGTTGACTGTCCTGACTGGTGCAAGCATAAATTAGAGTGGGTGAGGGTTGGTTGGGCTTAGCTGCAGCATCAGCTGGCAGAGGCTGGCACAGGGAGCTAATTCTGTCAAGTCAAATGCCAGAACCACCTGGACAGTACATAATCTGGGGGTGGGAGTGGCCTAGTAGGAAGATAGTGGGCACCTCCCTTGGGGTTACCACTCTCACTGGACAGCACAAAAACCAGGACAGGGGCAGGGGTGGCTTGACAGAAAGGCACCTGCCAGTAAGTGTGTGGGCTGAATAGTAGGCTGGTTGGGTTGAACTAGGCTTCAATGCCCATTGACAATGTACGAGAGCTAAATGGGATGTGGGACAGACTGGATAAGCCTGCAGCATATACTGGCAAGCATGGGAACCAGGGTAGGGGGCAGGCCTGGTGGGGGTTATGGCGAGTTGCCCCAACTAGGCTGCAGCTCCCATTGGTTTGTGTGAGGATCGAGTATGAAGCGGGTAGGATCAAGCTGGACTACAACACCCATTGGTTCATGAGGAAGACAGGGCTGGAAGCAGAACGGACCCAGCAATCGCAACGTCCAGCCTGTGAATGAGCTGATTGGTGTGGCGGACGGTGTTGGATTCTGTACTAGCAAACTCATGCAAGAATCAGGTCTGGGAACATCTCAGATGAAGTTTCTTTGGAGAGCCCTTCAACTGAACTGCTGATCTCAGAACCCCAACCATGAAGAGACTATGTCAGCCAGTGGACTCTGAATAGGTTTCATTGCGATTGGAACGGCGAGATTGGCAGCAATCCAGCA